ATTCTCTTTCTTGTATTCAGATTTAATTATTTAAGTTATTTCATTATTTAAATTTTAATCATTTAAAAAACAAGAACTAAAAATGCCTAGGTGCCTGACCTTTTTGAGAAAATGTATATATGCAAATTAATTCTCAAAAGTAGGAAAAAGTTAATATCAAAAACACTGAGTTATTATGGGACTGCCTACGACACTTGCTCATAATACTGGGCCAGGGATAATACTCTGAATTTCTCAGCAATGCGTTTTGGCCCCGCTCCTCGCCCTTTAGGTGAACAGTTAATTGACTGAAGCCATTTCATCCTTACTGGCCATGATACCTGTTTAATGATAGACAAATAACCAAATGTGTTTGCTCTGTCAAATTAGTGAACTCTCTACTAGACAGAAACAAGGATTAATGAATTGTCCGAAGTTGTTGGCAGCCATCTCGGAAACACAAGAGAAAGTCTGAATGAGCGTTAGGCTACCAACAAAAAAAGTGGATCCAGCGCGTGGAAGGGAATCCTGAAACTGGTTTACGCCTGTTTCATTTCAGACACGACATTCAAGCCCTGGTACCCAACCCCAGGCTGAAGCTTGATCTGTCCTTGATTGTCCTGTTACATGATTCAGTTAAGTTTCCTTTTGTGTACCAGCTAGTTAGAGTCAGATATTTCTGAACCATTTCTGTTAAGAATGTCCTCTAAGTAATGTAGTATTTTTCTTATCAAATAAATTATATTCGGCCAACCGGTGTTCAGGGTAGACACTGCGTAGTGGGAAGAAATTGCATAAGGATCCGTATATGTAATTGTCCTCACAAATGAGCTCAGATCGAGGAAAAAGCTTAGATTCTGGTCTTTGGCCTACGAGAGAAGGTTGGGTAGTTGACATAAATATCCTCTCCTGCACCATCCGACGGTTGGCTGGCAGAGATGGGACTCCTGTCATTGCTGGTTGCCTAGAAAGAGAGGGTGTCAATAATTCAGAGCATCTCAGCAGCTGATGAAGACGGTCTAAATAAAGCTCTCTTCAATTCGATCACAATATCATCAAATTCCTATTACAATTAATTTCATAAAATATTGAACTTCTGCGAGAAATCACATTCTTGGCTGGCCGGGGTCCGAGTGACATGCAACGGAAGCCAAGTCGAGATCATTGCTTGCTCTACTGAGTTTACGGAATACCTCTCCCAATGGCGCGCTGTTTGGTGAGAATAATTATTCGTGTTTTTATATGGGAAGTTAGTGTAGTATTTTCCCATAGTGGGTACCATTGAATTGCTGTTAAACGAATGTCTTAATAAACAATACGTTTAAAGTACGTGGTGTCCTGGACTAAAAATAAGCAACTGAACACAAGAAAAGAAATTAAGAAGACAAACTGACATTCGCTTTCAAGATGATGCTACGTAATCATCACAGTGGATTTGGCGTTTGCCGGGGGAAGGCAAAAGGAAAATTCAACTGTCATTGTTACTGACATGGCCTGTCAAAAAACAATAGAATCAAGTCTAACTTATTTATCTTTCACAGTCCAACTTAATATCTAACTTTCTAATCATCATTCAAGGTATCATTATTCTACGAAAGCCTGAAAGAGTTGAATACCTAGTGGGGGAAGTTGAAAAGGCCATGTCCGCCTCTGACATTCAGAGCAACAAAGCTGACTTGGGATCGGTTTGAGTGGACAATAGCTAAGGACAAAGAAGGGATCCAAAAGTTGTCTATGACCGAGCACTATTTATCCATGCTGGATGGCAGATGAGAAAACAAGACTTCTTGAGTCTTTACAGTTGGTGCCAGAAAACAAGCCATGCGTTCTTCAGGGAAAAAAACAAAATTGTTTTGCAAAGAGTAACTACTTAATAGAAGAAAAAGTTAAACAGGTAGATTATTAAGAAATCTGAAGCACACATATCGAATTGTCAGAAACTTTTTAGGACTTGGCCTGATGGCCAAGTAGAATTCAATTGTAAATAATTCAATTGGAGAGAAATGGATGGAATTGTAGATAACACTTAGAGATTTTGTAAACAGAATGATATCTTCAAAGAGAATATGGGACCTATGGTGGAGACAAAAAGCATGAAAATGAGCATCCCCGTTATCTGCAAACGCAGAAGGAATTTTCTGCTCTTTCAAGTACACAATAAGAGGCAGGATAAAGTAGAGTGAGGAGGAAAATATCACAGCTCATCAGACTCCTGCGGCCCATCCGAAAACTCTTCAGCTTTACAATCCGAGCGTCCATTAATTAATCAATTAATCTCAACGCAACGATGCTAATGAATGCCATGCATCACGTCCCCCTTCCTTCTTGCACGCTCACTATGCTTCGGATCTTTTAAGTAGTGTCATTTAATTTAATCCTCACAATAACCTTATGACAAAAATATTATTATGGCCTCTACTGGGTCAGATAGTGACCCCACAAAATTGATGTCCTTTCCAGACCTTCATAATGTGACTTGATTTGGAAATAGGGTTAAATAGGGTTGTTGTGTGCTCACGTGCGTGTGCGCGCGCACACACACACACTCACACACTCGCACAGGGAAGAATGCCATGTGAAGATACAGGCAGAGCTTAGAGGGATGTAGCTACAAGCCAAGGATTGCCAACCACCACCAGAAGCCTGAAGAGAAGCATGGGACGAATTCTCCTTCCAGGAAGAAAGTGTTCCTTCTGAGACCCTGATTTTGGACTTTAGCTCTCTTAGAACTGCAAGAGAATAGGGTTCTGTCGTTTTAAACCACCGACTTCGTGGTACTTTTGTTCACGTCAGCCAGGAGAATAAAAAAGAAGACATTTATGACACACGAAAGTGGGGAAGTGGCAACTCTGGGGAAACTCACCTTGTTCTGTGTCTCCCAGGACTCTTCAAACCGGGCCCTTTTCTGTCTCCTCCTTCTGAAATACATATTCGACAGAGGTATTAGGAATGACACTCCAGCACTAGGATCATTTCAAATGCTCGCTACCTCGCCTGTACCGCAGCCCACACACTCTTACTGAGTTTGTCGAAGGAGCTGTCCATGTTTGTTTTGTACACACTTACCCCAAATTCCATCAACCCAATTTTTTTCATTTCCCTGCCTTCTCCAATGGGCTCATAGATAGATGGTGGAGGGAACTAAATGGATAACCGGCCAGTGTATATTAGTAATCGCTTAGTGAGTTTACTAAGGAATGGGTCATAGTGCATTATACGTAAATGGCTTACGACCTTCACCAAATAATCTCAGAGATTCCCGACCATTAAAGCTTCCTTTTACATGTCAACGGCGTCACTTCTTGGATGCCAATGAAAATATAATTAAGCTTTATAAAATCTTCCAGGTATTTTACTAAAGCACCTGTAAGGGTTATTTTATTGAGATGTCTTCAAAAACTCTTTATTTAACATACTGGGAAACTGAGGCACAGAGGGTAACCTGTCCAAAATCTCATGGCTGGTTAGTGATAATATGAGAATCGGAATCCACAGCCCTCCCCGCCCCATGACTACTAGGCTCTCCTGCTTTGGGTTCATGCTGCTGCTATTGAAGGGGCAATCTGGAGCCAGACTATTCAATAAACTCTCCAATTAAACCCACAAAAAACTAACTTCGGGGGGAATCTTTCAAAGGAAAATACAAGAGAAGAAGAAAAGAAGCTTTTGTAACTGAACGCAAAAGATCAAATAACTATATCCCAGCGTATAAAAATGGTTATTATGGGGAGATGGTGACTTTCTCTTTCATCTCCCTAAAGAAAAGATTCTTATTGAATAACAGAGGAGATGGGTCAGAAGAAAAACGGTGGAGTTTTTTAAAAGATGAGGGCATAATTTCTTCATGGAAATTTTGAAAACCGAGCATGAGAGTTTCTCTCCAAGAAAATGTTATTCAGACATTGACGGCTGATTCTAACGATCTCTTCTAGTTGCTATGAAATCATCCTATTACGTCAGCTTAATCACAAAATTTCCTTATTCTATATGCTTTGATTTATTTACCTAAGTATAATTTAAACAATGGCTTAACGTATTTATTTATTTTGTGTGTGAGTTTACTATGCGCAAGTCGTGTTTCTAGGTATTTCATATAAATTATTTGCTTCTCGAGAGAAACCTGTCACATCGATGTTATCATCGATAACAGAGAGCACGAAGCTCAGAGCGGACGATGCGTGTTGAACTTGTACACAGCAAAGTATGAGTTATTTGCATTTCCCTCTGGTTCTCTCCACCCCACGCGCATCCCCTGAGCATCCCCAGGGGCCAGGGGATTTCGGTGCCGAAACCCAGGATCCCCTGGCAAACCAAGGTGCCCTGTCCGTTGCGAACATCGACGCTGGCAACAAATGTCAAGATACGTGTCTAACACCTTGCTCACTACATGCTAAACAACTTCTTCAGCGCACAGACCGCCTCGCTCACCGGGGCGACGCACGTCCGCAGCCACATGCGCTTAGCAGCACTGCTGTTGCGACCTAATGGGAGTGACCCGGGCGGGGGGCAGAGGCCGGGCGTGGGGCGCTGCGTGGCCCCAGGGCGCGGGGGGCATTCGGAGCCCTGCAGGCTGCCATGGTTGGTTCTGGCTTCTTCTGTCCCAGTTGGTACATCTAAAGGGATGGAGCCATTTTAACTGGTCGCTAGGGTAGTCCAGAAGGTCATTGTTCAGCCCTTGGGTCACTTTTCAAAACATTTGTGTTGTAAAGACCACCACTAGCTGACAAGGCACTGCTGTTTCCGTTGTGGCCTTCGGCCATGATCATGCGTTCTAGTCCAAATAATTTCCTTTTTGTCATGTGAAACCAAATGGGACAATATAGTCTACGGTTCAGTTTAGCTATTCAGGTAAAAGTGATGCATTTTTATGAAAGTAAATCCTGCACGTCCAACATCTGTGACCCTCCAGAGACCACTCGGTCCCTCACTCTCTTAGCCATGCTGCCCGTGGGTGCCGTGGGTGCCTGCTGTCATATCCGCGGTGGGGGTGCAGGGGTCATTGATCAGCCAAGGTAAAGCCGCAGAGGAACTGTCAGTGTCACTACCTTCCTGGGTCCCTTACCTCAGTTTGCTAATTTCTGACAAGAAAAAGGCTGGAGGGCTGCCTGGAGGCGGAGAGGAGGGAAAAATGACAGCTTTGTATTTCGGTTTAATTAGACGAATGCTTATTGACCGTCCATTATTTGAGAGACTAGCACTCAGTGCTCTCGACGCTAAAAAGTGAATAAAACACAAACCCTGCCGTTACGAACAGAAGGAAAATGATTAAACCGCAAAGCAGGCCGCGAGGCGCCGCGGATAAGAAGTACCTGGGATTTGGGATGGTGACACTCGGGAGGGAGAAGGACGGACCTTCCACAGGAGACATGGGCCCCCTACCTCGAATGCTCCACGGGATTAAGGCCAAAGACGGGGAAAACAGCATTTCGGTGGCATGAGGATGACAAGCGAGTTGGGTGTGTTCACGGAACAAAAGTCGCCGTTTTAACAAAATTTTCAGCATTGGGAGGATAACTAACGTAGAAAATCTGAATGAAAATGAGGCTGGCATCAGAACGAAGGGGATCGCGGACGACAGGGTTCATGAGTTCTACCGTTATTTGCGGGGCGTGAGGAAGGTCACACGAGGTTTTAAACAGGAGGACGACAAGGCCAGTCTTAGCTTTTAGAAGAGGAACCGGGAAACAACAGACGGGTTAGAAAGAGTGGGGGACACCTGCGAGCAGGAGAGCAGAGTGGAGACTGTCACTAATCTCAGGGCAGTGCCAAGAGCCCCTGAGCGGATGGAGGCGGCGGATGAGACAGTGAGATGCAGAAACCCACTGGGGAGCCAGTCAGCGAGCCGTGTGCGTGCGTGCGTGCACGTGTATATGCGTGCGTGAGTGTGTACAGGCGTGCGTGCGCGTGCGTGTTTGGTAATATTACTTGGGGAAAAGGGATGTCTTCATTCACTCAACAAACACGTGTTTAAGTGACGACAGTGCGCTAGACTGTAGACGTCAAACGTCGGGTCTCCTTCTTAAGAAGATAACACTCTGGTTGGACCACAAGTGTAAAGAGCCATTCCAACCACGGAGCTCACAGCTAAGGTTGCAATGAGCACCTAGACAAGTGAGTTGATGAACACGGGAGAGCTAGGAAGGTTAGAAAGAATCATCCAGGAATATCCCAGAAACTCCCACGTGGGCCACAAGACAGTACAAGGCAGGGAGCCAAGAGGCCAAACAGCCACCTGCTCTCTCTCAGACAGCCCCTGCCGGCCCCTTTCCTCCTCAACAATTTTTAATAATAGCAGCTAGATTGCTCGTTTCAGAGACTGTACAATTATTTAAAATTATGTTGTTTTGCTTATTAGAATGTGCGCTTCATTAT